ATCTCCATACCTTCAAAGAGGATCATAATCAAACCATCCATAGCAAAAGAAACATAAAGACATCTAGGGGACATTAAACAACTCACCTTGGAAAACACTCCTTTGGTTTCTTTTTAACTACTCTCACAATCTATGCCTTAAATTTATCTAGCTAATGCCTGTATATACCTAACTTTCACTAAGTATTCTAAAGCATTATTTCTCAGCCTATCATATATGAGTTATCTAGGAGAAAAAAGTGTTTGAAATAATGATGAGTACATTAAAATATACATATTTCCATTTACAAACCGATGCTCAAAATTAGTGACATCATAATATAAATCAACCCAGAAATGAGATCTAGTCAGACAACTGAAGAATTTTAGGGCTACTGGGATCTCAAATCATGCAGCAGAATTCCAAATTTCTTTGAAGATGAAACCAAGGCAAAGATGTTAATATTATTAATGGTCTATAAAATAACATTTTACAGCATTTCAGGAAGCCTCCCTTAAAAGAATAACTGATGAATCCTTTTATAGAACAAATCATTATTTTGTAATGTACCTACAACCTTGATCTATCTGCTTAATACAATCAGGTAAAGTCACAGAACGTGGCCTCTCGTCAAACAGAACTGACAATCCTGGTACGCACTGTTGCTGAGGGGGACAAAGGGAAGAGAAAGGCCTTCAATCACTGGACACTTAGGGTTTACCTCCATTAAACTGTCTATTCTTCCCCAAAATCTTATAAATAGTATTAGTATATTTTTTTAGTAAGGAGACAGGTTTGGAAACTTGCCCATGATTACACAGAAAATAAGCTGTAGTTCCAGAATTGACAACAGATATATCTGACCCCTTCCACTATACCATACTCAGCAAATGATCTTGGAGAAATGTTCTCTATAAAAGAATACCACTGTACATGTTGAGAAAATAAAGTATGAAGTATTACTCCAAAGGATGTGTAAGAGCTTTCTAATTTTACTGTGATATTTACACAAAATAGATAATTATCAGTTAAGTGAATAAATCCAAAGTTGTTGAAGAAGACTCAATCATAAGTTCTTGGCCTGGATTCTCTTCTCTTTAGTAAGACGTTAGGCTATTGGTTTCCTCAATATTTTAAGCTCTCCCATAGTAAATCAAAATTTAAGGGAAAAAAATATCACACAACCTTGTGTTTTGCTGTCATTGAAAATTACTGAATTCTAATCGCAGCTCAATGAAACCATTCTTAACCTGTCCTAGCTTTCCACAGTGGCTATTCCAAATCTCCACCATTCTCCTTTCCTAAACCAATCTCCCCTCATCAATTGACCTTGATTCCTATCTACCTCTTAGAGAACCTAAGTTTGAACTCTCTAACCTTTTACCACCCAACCTATAAATACACATATCTATTCTCACTTCTTTTCTTTCTTTTTCAGTGCATCTCTCCTCGGGTCAACATTGGCACACTGCCTAGGATCACAGCGAGCACTCAGTTGATACTTACAAAATATAAATTCTAGACTAATTCTTCCACCCTGCTCATCCCATCCTTTTCCTACATCTTCAGAGACCTCTATCAGCTATCTCCTCTTCTCATCTCCTACATCTTCAAACATTTCCTCTTTATGTACTCTTTGCCTAACAGTTCATCAATCTTTAAAAAAAAAAAAAAAAGAATACCTACAAACCGTTTTTAGTTACTGCCTCATCTCTTTCTTTTCTTTTCTTAAAGAGAGGTGTGCCTGGAAATTTCGTATTAAGGAAGTACTGTCAAGTAAGTAGAATAATATTACAGGGTGTTTTTTTTTTAAGAATCCTTAATTCTTTTTTAAAGTTTATTTATTTAAGTAATCTCTACACCCAAACGTGGGGCTTGAACTCACAACCCCGAGATCCAGAGTTGCTCACTCTATTGACTGAGCCAGGCAGGCACCCCAAGGACCCTTAATTTTAAAGATACACATTGAAATAATTACAGATAAAAAGATATGATATCTGAGTTTAGCTTTAAAACAATCCATTTGGGGGAAGGAGTAACAGATGAAACAAAATTGGTTATGTGTTCATTCTTCAAGGAAAGTGATGACTACATGGGGAGTTCTTTATTCTATTTTCTTTTGTATATGTATTATCAAGGAAAATTTAAACTTGTTTTGCAAGTAGCCTATGCTCACATTCCTCTTCATTTTTGCAAAGTAGTTTAGAAATACTTTACAGCCACCAAATCCATTGGACATGTTTCAATCTTTACCTTACTTGCCCTCTCCAAGACACATGATACTCTGGACCATTCCAGCTTCTCACTTCCCTCTCCTTTGTCATTTGTTATGCATGCTCGCTCTGAGTCTTCTTCTCTGCCTCCCAACCTCTCAGTCTCATTTGTGGGCACTTCTCCCACTTCCTTCCAAACATGGCCCCACTCCCCCACCCCAAAACACAGACACACACACACACACACACAAAATGCTATTCCTTCCCAAGAGTTCCATATTCAAACTTTTCCTTTTTCATTTCTAAACATTCCTCCAATGTGAGTTGATCCATTCTCTCCTGTAATTTCAACTACTTATGCACATGCAAACTCATACCTCCAGCCCTGAACTCTCTCCTGAGCTCCAGATCCAAATGCATCCTTACCTGAATATCCCACAGGAACTTTGAATAAATGCTTAGAACTGAACTGACCTTTATCTTTCACTCCAACAAAACCCGGCTCCTCATCCTCTCAAATCAATGGTTTCACTATCCTCACAGACATCCTAGCCAGAAAACTAGGACTCATTTGTCTTAGGGTTCCAAAACTTTCTAGCCCCCAACTTATATCAATTTTATCCCTTAAATACTTCTACAATGCCTGTCTTTCCATAACCCCAACTGCTTTTCAGATTTTTCATTTTTCTATTGTACTTTTTCCCCCTAAAACTGGTTTCCCTATACCACTCTATTCTCCCCTCTCCAAGGTCCTTCTCCACACTTCAACTGGAATTATCTTTCTAAAATACAAACCCAATTACACTACTACTCCATTTGAAATTCTTCAATGGTTGCCCCCCACCCCCCAGAAAAAAAAAACAAAACAAAACACTATAAACTCTTTATCACGGTACCGAGTACTTTAAGGTCTGGCCTCTTCCCCTCACTACACTGCAAGTACTCTGGGATTCAGGCATCAGAATGACCTAGGGTTCTCCAAACACAAAACACTGGAATCTATCCTTTCTTCTGTTGTGCCATTCTGTTGTGCTAAAATGACTTTCCTCATCTTCTCTCCCAGTGAAAGGTTACTCAACTTCCTTAACACAAGTCAAATGTCACATCATACTGGAAACTTCCCCCAATCTCCTTAGACAGAATCAGGATCTTTCTACCAATGGGTACAGAGAATGGCATCAGTGGTTGAGATCATGACTTAAATGAGTTAGACCCACCTGGGTTGAAATCCCAGGTTCAAACCTTATCAGCTATGACTCTGAACAAGATCTCTAAGCGTGTTTCCTCATCTCTAAATAACAGTAGCTAGGAATTTTTTATGAGGATTAAATAATGAGCTACATGCAAAATACCATACAGTGCCTCACTGAAATTAAGTATTCAATAAATGTTACTGTTATATTGCCGTTTATTCCCTCTCTGGGCTCCTATGGCAACTTGCACCTACCTCTATCATACTATTGTGATGACATGACTGTTTCCTCACGCAGAACACAGACTATCTTCTAACATCTTTTTATTCCCACTACCAGGCATAATACCTATAATATCATAGGTTCTTAACAAATCTTAATAAACAAGTAAAATGCTTCCAACTCCTGTACTATATACCATAAGGCCTCAATTTTTTTTCTAATGGTCTTTCTAAATTTACTTTCCATCTCCTTATACAAAATTGGTACTTCGAGTAAAATTTACAAGTCAGCCTCATTTTAATTGAGAAAAGGGGCATTTTGTAGGGGCCTTGGGTTGTTTTCTTGTTGAAAACACACACACAGGGGTGCCTGGGTGGTACAGTCAGCTAAGCATCTGACTCTTGATTTCAGCTCAGGTTGTGATCTGAGGGTCGGGAGATAAAGCCAGAAGTCTGCTTAAGACTCTCTCTCCCTCTAATTAAAAATAATAATAATAATAAAAATAAATAAATAAAACACACACACAAAATAAGCTCACTGTTCTATCAACAATTTTTCTACATACTATATAAAATAATAAATTTCTAGGATGGTTATCTACTTGTTAAAAAAATTTTAAAGGGCAATCAAGGCAGGTTTTCTAAATCTGTGTTGGCTTCCTTACCACCAGGACCTGAGTCAACTCTAAGGACTAAGGTGTATTGCAGAGTATTTGTTTTTTAAGTAGAACATGGCATTTTTCATTTTGAAAACATGCTCCTAAGAAATTCTGAAATAACCAAAGAAAATATTACTACCCACTGCTAAAAAAAAAAAAAGTCTGTGCTTTAAAAATCACTAGTAAGTTAAAGTTAAACTAATCTTCAAACAGAATCAAAATATATGTAGGCAGTATTCAAGCTAGTAAGTGGGGTGTGGGGGTACTCGTTTTGCAATCTTGACCCTCAATAAATAAAATGCAAAAGGCAAAACGGCTTAAAAAAAAAAGATACTACTATAAAATAGCATGGTCTCTACTTCTACACTTGACCTTTAAACATTAATGCCCTTTGAGTAATTATTAATGGCTTTAATATGCAAACACCTCTGAGCTACTTCAGAATAAACATGATTAAATACCTAAAATAAACGTATTAGGGAAAGGAGAAAGGCCTGTTTAAAAAAAAAAAAACAGTTTCTCGGGTCTCACATCAAAAGTGTGCCATACATACGGTTCGGCACCGAGAGGCAGCAACCTGGGAGGGTCAGAGGCGCCGCAGGCCCGAGGCCCTGAAGCTGGGGCGGCTGCTCATCCCTTAGACTTTGCCGGGCAGTGGCCCAGCCCAGTCGGGGTGGGGCTGAGAGCTGTTAGCCGGGGCGGGCCAAACGGCAGGGCGGGGAGCCCAAGTCTCACCTCCACTTCCCCTTCCCAGCGCAGAGCCCAGTTCCGCGACCACCCAAGAGCCCCTGCACCACAAAGACAGATTTTCTCTCGCCCGGTCCGCTCAAAGTTTATCGGTCTTTCCCAGCGGTCAGGGCCGCCGGGCTTTGTAGTTCGTCTGTCCAGGCCACCCCGCCAAGGCCGCAAGCCTGTGGAGCCGCTAAACTACAATCCCCATAATGCCCCGCGAGCCGCGCGCTCCCACTGTTCTCTACCTCCCCTCCCCGCGCCCCAGGACCCGCGCCGCCGCACTGCCGTGGCAGCGGGAGACCAGGTGGGGCTGTGAACCTGAACCCCCACCACCTGCTCTCCTGCTTGCGCCCGTCTCCCTGTGATTCATTACCTACGGGCCGCAGATCGGCGGACCGTTGGTGATGCTGTCCGGGTGGGGGTGGGGCGCAGGCCGCCGCCGCCGCCGCGGAGTCCGTTAGTTCGCGACGTGAGGGAAGAGGCGGTGGCGGCGGCGTACGGTTGCCATGGCAGCCGCAGGCCTAGCGGTGAGGGGAGCGCGGAGGCTCCGAGTCAACTCGGGGGAGGAGCCTGGGAACCCCACCCGGGTGAGGGGGAAGGGAGGCGCAAGGATGCGTCTGGGAGAGGGAGACGGTGACATTGAGGAGGACGAGTGACTAATTGAACTCTGGTACTGCCCACTGAGCCCTGCCGCGGCAGCGTCCAATCCCCTTGGCAGGACGCGTGTCCTGTGCAGTCGGCGGAGCGCGTTGGTGCCCACTCTATTCTGGGAGGATGCCTGTGGCGTCAGAGGAAGGAGCGCCCGAGCGGCTCAACGCCCGGCTCTTTAAAGGTCGTCCGGTCCGGCCTCTCCCCCGCCGCCTCTGCGGGCGTCCTCGGCTGGCTCTGCCTGGTGGCGTGGTGGGAACCGGAGCCACCCTTTCTGGGCTTTTCACCAGCAAAACCGAATTTGCAGTATTTCACACCTTTCTGCCACTTTCTGAGGAGTGGGATAGAAACGAATCCTTTAGTAAGGCGTAATGCGTATGGCCTTTAGGATTATTGAGATTTGAGAACTTGTAAGTGGCACTGATTTAGGCTCAATTTTTGATGTGTAATATTTCCGAGGTAATCTTTTATGGACTCTCCCAAGACCCGTCTCAGAGATGCGGTGCAGTAGAAACAGGTTAAGCGCATGGGCTTCTAAAACCCGCTTTTCGGTTCACGTCCTGCCCCTACATTTGGTAGCTGGTAACCAGGGGCAATTTACTTAACGCTCTGATGCTGAACGTTTTAATCTGCAAAATGGAGATCATGCCTAGCGCATAGTGCTTGTGAGAAATAAAGGCATTCATACTGATGAAGCACTGTAAAACAAAGACTGGCATTTAACAATAACTTTTAAATCTTATTTAATCCTTCGTGATAAGAATCAGAAGAGTGGTACCTTGGAGGTGAGACTGGGGTGTGACCGAAGAGGAAATTTTCGGTAGTGATGGAAAAGCTCTCTATCTTGCTTAGGGTTTGGGTTACAGAGGTATGTACATTTGTCAAAACTCATGGAATGGTACGTGTAAAATCTGTACGTTTCACTGTAGGTAAATGTACCTCAAAAAACATAAAAAAAAGATCCGTCTTGGCAATGTTCAAATATACAGTACAGTGTTGTTAACTATAGTGACCAGGCTGGGGCGTCTGGGTGGCTCAGTCGTTAGGCGTCTGCCTTCGGCTCGGGTCATGATCCCAGACTCCTGGGATTGAGTCCCACATCGGGCTCCCTCCTCGGCGGGAAACCTGCTCTCCCTTTCCCACTCCCGCTGCTTGTGTTCCTGCTCTTGCTATCTCTGTCTCTGTCAAATAAATAAATGAAAATTAAAAAAAAAAAAAAAACTATAGTGACCAGGCTGTACATTACATCCCCAGGACTTATTTATTTTATAACAAAATGTGTACCCTTTGGCCCCCTTCATCACCCATTTAGCTCCACTACTCCCACCCCCACCCCCACCTCTGGCAACCACCAATCTGTTCTCTGCATCTGTGAGATTATAATTAGAGCTGTAGACTCTATAATAGAGACCACAGAGATGTTCTCTGTGCAATCTCCAGATTTTGCAGATGAGGAAAATGAGACCTAGAGATTTAAGTAAGTGGAGAAAGGGCGGGGGGAATTACCCTGTCTCTTGAGAAATTATGATTGAAAATAGCAAGCTACTTATGTGTATGTCATCCGGTTCTCAGTCGGGGTCACCTTGTCCACAGAAATTTTGTTGAAATTGACTCAAGTCCCTTTTCCACCTCCTGTGGAAAGGCCAATGTCCTCTCCAAGATTGTACATTCCCTCGGGGCAAGGAGGAGGGGGGCAGATTACAATTTCAGGGTCACTTCTGGGTCTGAGTTCCTGCTTTCTCTGAACACATGGACTCTCTCTCATCTCACCTTCTGCAACTCTTTTCCCTCCTGCTGACACATCGTTTGGAAATCAAACCCTTTTCTTCATTTGTTTGCATAGCAGGCTCCTCTGGAGGTTTGGAGCAACTGAGGGGTTTTAAATGAAGGATGCAATAACCTAAAGTTAGAATTCCCTGGTCTTGGAGGGCCTACAGTATCCCAATGGCATTGGTATCCACCAACCCCCGTTCTTTTTCAGCAGAAACTGCAACTCTGCACTAACCACCATCTCCCTGGTCCCATCTCTCCCTTCCTCTTTTCTCTCTTTATACAGTACTTTTAGTTACCTCTGTCTCCTAATCTCTACCTTCAGGACCACCTCCCATTCCTCAACTGGTTATCAAAGTATTTTCCAACACAAAGCACTTGCCCCAAGAGAACTCTGGTGCTGGCTATTAAAATCATATGGTAAAACTCAGTATATATCTGCATATTCTATTTGATTCAGCCCAAAGTATACTCGGTAAATATTAAGCTTATGCACATGTCCTGTCTAGGCTACCTGCATAGTGGGTTCAATTATGAAAATGATTCAGTTAAATGAGGAAGCAGTTGATAGTAGCTAGAACCTCATGTCAGAGAGAAGGAAAAACTAAAGTCTCTGTGAGCATAGCTTATATTGTGCGGAAGTAATGACAGCATTCAAGCAATAAAATCCAGAACAAAATCTGAGTTAATACTTAATAGCAATAATGACATCCTTATAGAAGCAACACCTGGACTTGTCACCTCTAGCAATTTGATCACAACTCTGCATATATAATGAGCATATAAATAGAGTCTCCTTTACTCCTGGAGAAGATGATACGGATCTGCTCTCAGCTGAACACATGTTTTTGTAGTAGGGATGATAGGTTCACCCGATCCATCTGTCCCTCATCTGATTTCCCTTGTGACTTGCACTTACGAGGCAGCTGGCCAGGGTTGTAGTGCAGTCCACAGCCATGAAGAAGTCTGCAAATGCAAGGCCCCAAATACATAACCCTCCTTGTTTTTTGAAGTCAGAATCTCAGAGAAGCAGCTCAGCAGGACAAGCCACTTAGGGAGAATGACGACAGCAGTGATAGGCAACAGCCGCCTTCAAGTAAGCTGAAGGAAGACCATGAGCAGGGCCTTAGAAAACCTAGCATGGCTATGGACAGTTGGGAAGGAATGAGGACCGATAATAGTTTATTGTTTCCACTGGAGACTTTGGATTATTTCAAGTAATAAACACACTGTGCAAATCTGAAAGTAATAACAGATGAATCTACATAGACAATATGGTTATGAGCCATTGCCCTCATTAAAGAGACTTAGAACATCTAGGGGCGCCTGGGTGGCTCAGTCAGTTAAGCATCTGCCTTCGGCTCAGGTCAGGATCTCAGGGTCCTGGGATTGAGCCCTGCATCGGGCTCCCTGCTCAGCGAGGAGTCTGCCTCTCACCGTCTCCCTCTGCCCCTCCTCCCTCTCGTGCGCATGCTCTTTCTCTCTCAAAAATCTTAGAGAGAGAGAGACATCTGGTTCAAAGTCTGACATTTTTCCTCAGTTATCAGGCTTGACTGGTATAGCATTTGACTTCGCTGGTCACCCTCCTTAGTGGTTCACAACCTTGGTTCTCCTCAAAGCCTACTTCATCGTGTTATTCACCAGCTTTTCTACCTGCTCCTTATTTGTGGAAATAGCTCCCAACATTCAATGAATACACCCTCTCCATGTATAGCGTTTCATCTCTCAGCTCTGGTTGACCCTCAGATTTCCCTCACTAGTTCTGATCCCCAAGCTCCAATACTGCCCCGAGCATGCTGTGCACTTCCTTATCTTGTTCTATATAATGTTTTCTTCACCTGGAATGCTATCTCCTTACCCTAAATTCCACCTCTTCTGCAAAAACTAACTCAGGCCTCTATGTGAAGCCTTTCCTGATCATTCCTGCTCACAATCATATCATCCTGCTCTGTACTCACATTTCCTGCCTATATCACTCACTTAGACAGCCAACCGTACCGCCTAGTGGCAGTTCGTGTGTTGTTTACTCATTGGCTTTTGTCTTTTCTCCTCACTGATTTCAAGCTCCTCTGATGTACATTTCTGGGTATTTCCAAATACGTCTTTATAATACCTTTCATATAAGGACACAATATTTTTGATTGTTGGCTCCTTAACTTTTCTCCTGAGTTATACCTCCTCTCTCATAGCTCTCCCCCTTCTAGCGCTATAAAGGACATTTACAGCCTCCTAAGATAAATATCTCTAAAGCCTATGGAAAAGTGTGGGCCCCCATATATATTCAGTGGATGGGTACCTTAGGAGGCAGTTCCTCTAAGTCACTTTTAGTATGGAAGGAGTTCAGGAGGTAAGTGGCACTGAATTCCAATGCTCAAAGTCACAGACTAGGTCCTAGAGCAAAGTTTAGTAGGTCATGAAATCAAGCCTGCTTCTCCCTCTGCCTGCCACTCTCCCTGCTTGTGCTCTCTCTCTCTCTCTCTCCTCTCTCTCTGACAGCAGTTACTGGGACCAGGCTATTAAGCCATTGCTGGGGTGACGCTGACAGTAATCTAACAGGAGGCAACCATGTGAGCGAGGGGCTTCCTCTTCTTCCAGCCTTGTGCTCTTCCCTAGTGTACCCAGGAGTCAGCAGACAAAGGAGAAATGAGGGTTGCCTAGTTCC